ATCGCAGAGTTCCTTGTCTCCGCCCCCCCCCCCCAACCCGAGGCTCGAGTAGAAATCCCCATCCGAAAGTCTTTTCTTCAGATTTTTCAGCGCTATTCAACATGAAAAATCGAAGAAATTCCGTAGAAACGAAGGTCGTTACTTGTTACTTCCAAGGACACCTTCTGCAGAAGTGGTATCCCGGTAATCATTAGGGCACATCCCCGGAGAGGGGAGAAGGGGTAGAAAGTTTGGAGAACGTTAAAGTGTTGTGTGAAATTAGTTCCCCTCCCTCCTCATCCTCGCTCGCCCCCACCATCCAGTTTGTTTTACGGTACGCAGAACTCGTACAATGAGGCTACCAGGTGGTCATTAGGAGAATCTCGAGGATTTTCTTCTTTTTACTTCCTGCAAATTCACTTACTATAGGTGGGACTGTAGGTTCGTAATTGAACACCAGTGCTTGCAACATGAACCACGGGTTTGTCTCTAAAGGAGCGCACGTAGAGGCGTTCCTGCTTACGTACGTTTCGGAGTGGTGCCAGCCTGCTTTCGCCAGTCGTTGCCACAGGAAGCTATTGGGGAAATAAGCTGGTGCCGTGGCAGGACGTATATGCGTGGGGTCACCTCTATACGACACTCCGATAAGCACTGTATGAGTGGGTGAGCCTGGGGTGAGCTTCGCCTTGCCGCAAGACAAGATTCCATCCTACGATATGTCATACAAAATCATTATCCAGTACACTTTATGAAATCTAATCTTATTAGCTCTTAGTCTCCAAATAACATGTTATTTACATTTGAGAAATACCCATAGGAATGACAACAAATATGAATTGTATGAATATGAATAGAGATCAAAGTAGTAAAGAAACAATCGATGAGCATTATCGTATTGTCAAATGACTGCGAAGGACAAATATTATTGGATACTGTAAGAATTCTCTTCCCTATCTAAAATGCAGTCAATATCGTCGCAATCAGCCGGGCCGTGCCAAGGGGCATGGAACGAGCTCATCTGGTAGTCTCCTCCTAAACCGCAGGGCACATCCATTGACTGGGGATTTAAGTCAACTCTATAAGAACCCCCCTTCGTTACCCTTTTTTGGGAGTTTTGTAAACGACGGCCCCCCCCCCCCCGGCCAGGCCCTCTGCTTTCCTCCATCGAATGCGAGTCGTCGAGCGGGGGGGGGGTGGGAGGGCAATATAGTAAGCAAAATAAAAAACAGGGATAATCCACGAAAAGTCAACGCACCTCTCCCTACAAACGCCGAAACTTAGATACGATCCTCGCCTCCCCCCGCCCTCCCCAAAAAATGACCAAGTAGGGACCACTCCCCCCCTTTGCAACGTCACATGAGCGAGAAAAAATCAACTTTCAAAAATAGAATTTTTTCACCACCAACCCAAATTACGCCCCCGCCTGTCCTGGCGCGCCCAATACGACCCCCTATTGAGATTCCCAACAATCGATGTGCCCTGCCGCTCAAATGGCTTGCGACGATGGACCTTAGCTATAGACTGTATCAATGAAATAAACGTAATTTAAACTACAGCACCAATAGCAAACTTCGGCCTGAACATGGAGCAATATCCACATAGGAAGCTCTTATGAGCAATAATAATGTTAACAATAATAAAATTGACAGAAAAAATCAATCAGCTCTATCTAAGGCATGCACCAAATAACCAAAGACGCTTGTGCGTGTGAGAATTCCTTCCGAAAAAAGCTCTCCTGTAGGTTTTGAATGGGTCCCAGAACAGGTTAATGAAAATCTTTCGGATGATCCGGGGGCCGGGGTTGGGAAGCGAAGAGGGTAAGTGAACGTTCGCGCATTAGGGAGAAAGTTGCTGATAAAAAAATGATTCTCTCCGGTGGATGTCGTATATTTCTATGGTCAAAAGAAGAGTGATTAAGCCCGTTATAGAGGATTCCCAGGAACTCAAAGGGTCCCTCACCTAGGAGCGGACTCCTTAATTGTTCCCAGATCGTGAAGGTATAACACTAATTACTACACTGAAGAAAACTACTACATTTAAGAATACAAAATTTCTATGAACATGGTTTTCCCTGGGCTATTGACCGGTAATTGGGTCAGAGGAGTGGAATGCACAGGAGAACCGATATAGGAAGCGAGGCACAGGATGGTGAAAATCGGAGGACCACGGCTTCACCTCTGGTTATACCGACGCAAAAAGGTTGACGCAGTTTCACCACAACATGAGCAGAATTGCCATTCTGGCAGTGCTACGGCTGCAAAGCGGGTAAGGCAGTCAAGGGCACGAGGTAAAAATAGACTGCTTCCATCCTGGATGCCTGCTCACTGTGTGGACATTATCTTGGAGAGAGGGCACAGACCAGCAGAATAGAACTGGATTTGCGTCAAATCACCAAGCACTACGACATTTTTGTGAGTAGTGGGCAAAGAGATTTTTTCATTTTTCTTGACCCCCACCCACTCTCGCTTCACGTGCGGTATTCTGTGCATTCCAGTTCTGACCAAAGTATACGGTATCCGAGCACAATGTCAGGAGATCTCGGATTCGTCGGTGAAATTCACTTTACTGTTACGTTTTGGTGATGGCGTGAGATTGCTGTTCACATCGGAACTGGTCTTCACTTCTTGTCTTGAGGAGAGACTCCCTATTAGCAGGTCTAACTTGTAATTTAGCTCGTTACGAAGATTCTGGATTGCTTCCAGGGAGGCGGCGGCACTGTCGTGTGTTAAAGCAACACGTAATGGAGACTCAGGAGATCTGAAACTTATTCATATGAGCTGTGAAAGTTGCACATAGCGGACGAAAAACTCAGACAATTCCAGAGATTTTGCTAAATAGGGATTTTCAGGATTCATGTTCACCAGTTATTCAATCACAGCGAGTTGTTATTTTGAAACGCGTTTTCAACGCAATTTTTCACTGATATGTATGGTGATTGAGAATTTCGCTTCTCAAAATTGCGACTACCGTATGGGCACGGACAAGACAATCGTAAATTGTCGCGCAGTCGCGCGCGGCTTGTCGTGCGGCGGTGTGCGGCAAATCAGTGCGCACTAATTTGTCGATTGAAGCAGCGAAACTCATATATACAAGCGGTGAGAAGACTCCATGATGAGCCGATAGCGAATTTTTCCGTTCCATAAACACTCAGATTCGAAGGGCAGGCAAGATGCTGCGCGGCGGCATATCACGATTGTTCGTGTCACATACCCTCCCCCCCCCCCCATTCTGTCCAACCTCGTCCTAAGTCAGCCTTTTACTCTACTTCTTTTTACTTTGTGAGAAGATGGTGAATACAACTTACTTCAAAACGCTCTTCGGACTCATCATGATTCCGTTGATAGGATAGCTGAATGCTGTATCGGTCTTACGCAGTGCTAAGTGAGCCTTTTCAGAAGCTCGTCGTTCACCACGAATCAGCTCCGCTCTTTCAGCAGCATTAATACCACCACAAGCTTCCGAGCACCGGCGTCGACGTACTTTTCGGTCAGTTTCTAAAACGATTTTATGGTTTCGAGTAGGTATCAATAATGCAATAATAATAAATAGTGGTAATCAATTAGTAGAGGCGGAGGTGGTGTAGTGACAAGTGGCGCGCTTACCACTCGCGAGGCGCCGTGTTCAAGTCCCGGGTCAACTCCCGCCCAGGCCAACCAAGCCTTCTGCCCGCGGTGAATTGAGACCAGATTCGTCTGGGAGGATAAAACACTGACTTGTACATCAGCCGGCCCTGCAATTCTTTGTATAGGCCACATCGCATTCAGTTAGCGGCATACGGATTCTAAATGGAAGTACAATAGAATGCGTGCGCATCCCACAAAGGGATTGATCAACGGCGAAGACTATATCCTTCTATCCTTTCAATCAATTAGTAGCAGTAATAATTAATAATTAATTAGTAGCAGTTAATAGTAGCAATTAATTACAATAGTAATGTTAACATACTGATTGATGCTAAAGTAGTCGAGCAGCTCCTCTGCTCCTTCCTCCGTAATCAAAAGAAGGAGTGTGGAGCGTTGCTTCCAAGTAGCGGCGAACGCGGCCAAATGGGCGTTGCAAGCAGGGTGACGTACGAGCAGGGCACATCGTTGTTGGGGAATTCCAATAGGGGGGTCGTATTTGGTCGCCAGGAGGGGGGGTCGTATTTGGGCTGAGAAAAATTTATTTTGATAGTTGATTTTTCTCGCTTCATGGACGGGCGGGGTCGTAAGGGGGGGGTCGTATTTGATCATATCGCGGAGGGAGGTCTTTATTGTCTCGCGGCTTTCCCTGTTTCATGTGCTATTTACCCCCCCCCCCCCGACTAAAATCCCCAACCAATGATTGCCCTGCGTACGAGGCATTCGCGCTAGGACCCGACCCACTCAATGTAGCAGTGCTGCGGCGCATCAGCTTCTCTCCACTCTCTCCACTCTCTCTCTCTCTCTCTCTGCGTCCATCAGGTCGACTAGTTGACTCTGCCCTTATGCGTCTCTCGTCGACTAGTCAGGCAGTTCTCCGTTCATGCTGCGCGAGGCCGTGACTGGAAAGCCGCTTTCCCAGTCCTAGAAAAAAGGGTTAGAGCGCATACAACCAGAGTCGTATCGGGATTTTCTGCCCTTGAGACCACGGCGACTCTAGTCGTTTATGCTCTAGGTCCAAGCCTTGGTTAGTGAGAGAAAACCGAGGCGCTGCCGAGTACCTCCTCACCACTAATTTAGCACCGGCAGGTGTCTTAGGATGTGTAGAAGCCTCCAAGCTTGTTCTCCTCTTTTTGAAACTGTTAAAAGCACGCAGAAGTAGCTATGGAGGCGAATTTTGGCATGATGCCAGCTTCAGTGAGTACGGGGCGTTTTACGCGAAGTAGCTATGGAGCGATTCTGGCATGATGCCAGCTTCATTGAGTGCGGGGCCTTTTACGCAACTGTTTTTAGGGAGACGGGCGACTCTATCGTGCGCTATTCAGGGCACCGCCCCTCACGCCGCGCACAGGTCGCGGGCGCGGCTATTTCAAGGTTGCTTTACTGTGGCAAGGAACCCTGAAGACCTAGCAGTGGGCCATATAACCCCAATTTGCGCAAGTCCACTTATGTTCCTCTTTATTAGTTTTGGAAGTTTCCTCTCCAGAAGTAACAGTGTCCCATTGAGGAAACGGGGCGGGAGGGCATGAGAGTAATTACCATGTACTGAGCTCTTTCATAATCCCATAGGGGGAGATCTAGAAAATTTCAAGCAGAAACTAAGCTACATTTGAAAACCATCAATAGAAACATACCGCATGGCTGATTGTCCTGGAGGATTTCTGGCAAGGTTGAATTGGCTGGTGGTGTGAAGAGTGAGATGGAGTCCTCCCTAAAAGTTACTGATCGATACCCGAAATCTGGATAAAGATTACGATAATTAAAAATTACTGGGCACCTCTCATCATCTTCATCAGTGCTGGATGGGCAATCTTCTTCAGCCACTGATGCACGTGGAACTCGATAGTTGAAAACACCGCGGCTCCTGAATCTGCAGCTTTTGAGAAGTTCAATGTTCGGGTGAAATATTCATTATAATTCTATTGGTCCCACCTGGTACTGCTCATTGTGCGCATGATGTCCCTCTTAACGGCGTCGATGTGTGATGAACTTCGCACGATCTCACGGCGGCGATCATCCCTCAGTTCATACCTGGAATAACAGTGAACTTGAAACTGGGGCGAACTACTATCTGAGTTGGAGAGTTATGGCAATGTCACTCCTTAGGAATTTGGGGTAGCCCCTGGCAGGCCCAGAAACCTGAGAAGAGGGACTGGCATTCATCGCATTTGTTGGGCGCCCAATAGTTCAGCGATCGCCGCAAGATCGCCGAAGATCATTCATGGGAATGGAGGGCTAACCCGGAGACCTCCCACGCACATCATCTCCAGAAAAGTAATTTGAAAGTTAGAATTTGAATTACTATTATTTACCGTAAACTACTGATTGGTGAATAAATGAAAATATATTATTCAGCAATACTTGTCACGACCATCACCATATATATAATTCGCTTAGTGTTGTTTGTCAATTGTGTATTTGTAAGTTTGTTTGTAAGTTTGTTTGTAAGTTTGTTTGTAAGTTTGTTTGTAAGTTTGTTTGTAAGTTTGTTTGTCTGTCCGGAAATTCGGTTCGACCTAAAGAACGACTTGGAGAGGTCGGGTCAAGGTGGGGATGGGTAGAAGCATGGACAAGAAAACAATCACCCCATAAATATACTAATTCCGCTTCGTCTGTTTGTTTGTAAGTTTTGTTTGTAAGTTTGTTTGTAAGTTTGTTTGTAAGTTTGTTTGTAAGTTTGTTTGTAAGTTTGTTTGTAAGTTTGTTTGTCTGTCCGGAAATTCGGTTCGACCTGAAGAACGACTTGGAGAGGTCGGGTCAAGGTGGGGATGGGTAGAGCATGGGACAAGAAACAATCACCCCATATATATAATTCGCTTCGTCAGTTTGTTTGTAAGTTTGTTTGTAAGTTTGTTTGTAAGTTGTTTGTGAGTTTTGTTTGTAAGTTTGTTTGTTTGTAAGTTTGTTTGTCTGTCCGGAAATTCGGTTCGACCTGAAGAACGACTTGGAGAGGTCGGGTCAAGGTGGGGATGGGTAGAGCATGGGACAAGAAACAAAAAGCACACTTGACCTATGCGAAGCCCCGCCCACAGTGGGCGGGGCACTCGCTGAAATTTTGGGGTTTCACAGAAAAATGTTCATAATTCGCTTCCGGAGCAGCCTAAGATGGTGAAAAAGGGAATAAGGTTAGTAAGGAGTCGCCAGACTAACTGTGGCAGACACATCCAAAATGGGCGGGGCGTACTCAAGGTGGGCGGTGCTTCGCATAAAACTCAGTAACTCGGTTCGCGAGAGTTCAGAAGCCGCAAAAAGCTCAGTGCAGAATGTAAAATATTTTTCTGGGCGAGTAATGTGCCCAAAAGTGTGTTGAGATCCGCCCACAGTGGGCGGAGCTTGCCCTAAACCGCAGGATACTCACTTTAAAAGTTTGTAGCTCGGTTCCAGAGCACTGCAAAGACCGGAAAAACGTGCGTCAAGGTCGGCAAAGGTTCGCCGGTGAGGACTGTGGGGCAAAAACATTGTGGGCGGAGCCTGCTCCGAGGTGGGCGGAGCCAGACAAAAAGGTTGTAAACGGTTCCGAGCTCTCCGAAGACCGAAAAAACTTAGAATTAAGGTCACGGAGGAGGCGTGAGGATTGTGGGCACGAAAATTGGGGCGGGGCCAGCCCGAGGTGGGCGGAGCCAGACAAAAATTCTCCAAAACTCTCCAGAGCACTCCGAAGACCGGAAAAAAGTGGATTAAGGTCAGCAGAGGTCGAAGGTGAGGACCGTGGGGCAAAAACGTTGTGGGCGGAGCCTGCTTCGAGGTGGGCGGAGCCAGACAAAAGGGTCTGTAAAACGGTTCCAGAGCACTCCGAAGACCGGAATTAAGTGAATTCAGGTCAGCAAGGGGTCGCCGATTAAGAAATGTGGGGTATACATGTTGTGGGCGGGGCCAGCCCGAGTTGGGCGGAGCCAAACAAAAATTCTCCAAAACTCTCCCAGAGCACTCCGAAGACCGGAAAAGTGGATTAAGGTCAGTCAGAGGTCGCGACCGAACGAGTGCGGGGCAACAAAAATTGAGCGGGTCTGCTCTGAGGTGGTGCCGAAAGTCAGACGAGAGCAGGAGAATTTGTAAAAACAGCTCAAGAGTATATTCAGACACCGGAGAAAAGTAGGTAAGGTACGCGCGCGAAGCCCGCCGCCGCCCGGCGCAGCCGGGCGTATCAGAAGGAGCCGCGCCGAGCGTCGCCGGGAGCGACTGGTTATCCTAAATTGAACGAATTGGGGGTTTGAGAGTGGCTCCTCAACCGCCATATTCAGACCTTTCGCCAACCGACTATCACCTTTTCTAACATTTTCAGAACTCCCTTGCTGGAAAATACTTCATCAATCAGGACCAGGCAAAAAAGCCTTCGTGGATTTCGTGAACTCTCGACCCAGTTTTTTACTTTGATGGGATTTCTCGACTGCTGTCACATTGGCAAAAGTGTGCTGATTCGAATGGTGCCTATTTCGATTAAATCCGATGAGTATTAAAAAAGTTACGATCGTTTAAAGTGAAACACCCAAAACGCTGAGAACTTTCCGGACAACCTAATAGATACAAGTGTCATACAATGTCATTGTCTACATGAAATTGATGCTCCGAATCTAAGGGGTAGTGCAATTAAGGGAACGTCGCCCCCGGGCCCCCCCCCAAATATAGCCGCGCGCGACAAAGCGGCAACTTACGAATCTTTGCCTGTCTCTCCCCGCGCTCAGAAGATAATACGCAATGGAGATCTGCGTCAAATGACTTAGCGACAAAACGAGATGGGCGAGACAGAGAACAACTTCTGACTATAAGTACGTGTTCCCCTTCCCTTCGATAGTGGGGGATAGGAAGCACAATGGATTGAGGGATTCTCTTGCTCCGCCCATAAGAAGTGCAGAACTATATTTTAAGCAGACTAATAGTAATAAGATAGAAAGTATTACCGTGCAACCAATCGTTGTATAATGTCAGCATAGGTTAATGGTTTCTTCGTAGCTTCATCGGGACTTTTCTCCGACTGCGCTCGTTTTCTAGAGTATCCTGGCCGCTGAATAGATGTTTTTATTATTTTGGTGGAGTTTATCTGAAATGGTAGGGAGAATACAAAAAGTTAAAAAATAGAAAATGAAAAATTATTAAGATTAAAACTTGCCCGAATTGTTGCACGATTTCGGCTTTTTGAATAGGTGTATTTGCCAAGCAACCAGCGAATTGTATTCAAAGCCGAAAAGAAAAAGTAGTAAATTGCCTGAACAATGAAGTCAATACATAAACGTATTTGGCCCAGGTTTCATCTACTTTTACCTATTGACTTAGATTGACACCAGCAGTAACAATATCCTAGGGTATCCTAGGGTTTTTGGAGCTCTGACCGTTATGTGAAGGTGCGTTCTTCTGAGGTATTCGTATGCCAAGACCGTGAGCCGCATTGGGTCTGAGGAAGTCGGCTACGGCACTGTGAATGGGCTTGCCCCCCCTCCCTTCCCCTCAGCACCGAAGGTTATGCTTTTGAGTATAAAACGTTATCACAATTATCTTAGCCACAAATGGCACCTTAGGTGTGATGATGATATTGAACGGTGGTGACAGACTTGATCCTTCATCAAAATGTGCCATCCACAATTTCGTCCGATGGAACTTCCATTCCAAATCGGCATGATCCTGAAATTTTATCTGCGTTCCTTAAGAAAATGCTATCTTAGGCAGCGTTCAGACTTCGCGATGGCAGCATTTCGGGCGCGAGT